CAGAGGCTAGAGACATAGGATCAGAGAGAGGGAATGGAGACTGAGCCAGGGTAGTAGCCATGGGTTGGAGGAACAGCCTGGATAAACTCATATTAATCTAGATTTGATAGGACTGGTGCAGAGTGGAAGGAAGGGCAGCTTGTTGGCATTGATCTTGGGCCAGTACAGAGGAGCCAGAGCCAGAAGAGAACAACTCCTAGGAAAAGGCTGCCAGAGTCATCTGTGGGTGCAGAAAGGTCAGAAGAAGCAACCACCCATCAGTATTCTACCCAGGTTAAGTAGGTTAATGTCTAACTTCCAAACTTTGTTTCATTCTTTGCAAACTGTCCCTTAATGGCCACCATCTTTGTTTAGAGAACAAAGGCTTGATGGACAGCTAGTAAGGTCATTCTATCCATTTCCCTCCCATCATGAGTGAAAAGTCCATATTCAGACCCTCCTGCTGTTACAAAGAATCGAAGCTCTCAGCATGGGGATGCTGTATTCAAATGATGTGATCTTCAGAAAGTCATTTCGTGTCTCTAAGATGCAAATTTCTTATCATGTGCATGGAAACTATAATACATGCTTCAAAGAGCATGTTAGGATGGCAAGAGAGCACCTGGGAAAACACTGAGTATTAACACGTTTCATATTAGTACATAGTTGATCGTTTCCATGATACAGATTGCTAGCACAGTGTTTATTATGATGATAGAAATATACCGGCACAACATAGTGGTGCAAGCCTTTTTGTAAGGAACAGATGCTGGCAAACACCTACAGTCATAACTAAAGGACAGAGTGACTGCAGGCCGTTGTAACTCACCCCTCCTCACCACTACATGATGAGTCCTTCCTTCTCTCCCATCTAAATTTCTTTACCTTTGCTGAACCCACAGACCAACACCTTACCATGTGACAATGACCCTGGCCTGGACTCATACAGTGTCATGAAAAGGGCACTGCTCTGGGGCCACACACATCTGCTTTATATTAGCTTGATCCCGGCAGTATCACTAAACTCTTTTGAGCCTCAAATTTCTCCTGTTTGAAATGTGTAATAGTATTGTCCTTAAAATCCTGTTTTGACAATTATTTTGAGAGCAACATGATGTGCAAAGCATCTGGCCCATAGATGCTGTGTATTAAATGGGAGCGCCTTCTCATTTATTCTACTGGATTTTGCCATTTAAGGAAAAGCATTTTTTTCTCAGCTCAAGGTTTTTTTCAGCTCATTATTTTTATCCAGGACTATGATAGCTACTAAGTGTTTTGGGCTTTTCTCTCTCCAGAGACATTTTGTGGTGCCAATTAGAAGTGCAAGTAGATTGATATTAAAAAGTAATGACTTGCAAAGTGTAGTGTGGCTTCCCCTCCTGAAGCCCAGCTTGCTGCTCTTGCCGCTCCTTTCCAAATATCTAACTCTCTATGGAACAAAACCATCTAGAGCCAAGAGGATAGCATTAAGATTGCACAATTCAGCATCACTTGCAGACCTTTAAGGAGAGGGATGTTTTATGTACGCAGGAAAACACATTTATATTACATTTTTGCACAGATGCTCTTGCTCATTAGGATAGACATCTGACAACACGAAAATAATAATGAATCTTGTGGAACTGAAGAAGATGGGTCAGAGATGGGCTCAGCCAAAGGCTGGGCCCAGTTTTACTTGCACTGAACTTTGCTATTTCACATTTCCACATGCAGAAGGCTCTTGGTCAGTGTGTGGACCCACTGAGGAACCTGTCCCCCTGTGGGTGTCATCCTATTGTCTTTTCCTTTCAGTTCTGTTTCTTCTTAGGTCCTTTCTCCTCTCTTTTCATTTCCAAAGACCACAGGAATAAGAACGAAGTAATCTGCTTTAGTTTTCTGACCACAATTAAGTTGTCAATTTTCTCTGAAACCACATCTCTGCTCTGCAAATGGGATCAGTCACCCTCCTTCCTAACCTCGCCTGTGTGTACCAACCTCCTTGGCTCAAGACCATTCTCCTTCCTAGATTTCTGCAGCCGATGTGGTCTTTCCTGCTTGCAGCCACTAGAACCCACATCACCATCCTTCTCTCCAGGTCATACCATCTACCCTCTAAGACATCATTAGGATTCTCTCTTGGCAATGCCACTGACTATACCACACACCTCATTCCATCCAGGATAGAAAGGATTCCCATGCCTCCTGAGAAAGGATACTCCAGGAAGACCCAGTACCTATGCACAGCCTACCACTCCTGTTGCTTCTTGTTCCTTTCACCTCACACATCATGTTACAGCCACACCACACAGGTGGTTCCCTCAAAGTCGTGCGGCTGTTTTGCCTGCAGGTGCAAAGGGGCTCTGCTGTCCTCCTGGATAATTTCTGATTATTGGGAAAGAACCAGCTTCAAAATTTACTTTCCAAGAAGACTTCTCTGGCCACTCTGGGTTTGGCTAAAGACCCTCTTTCTGTGTCTCACAGCACTCTCCCCTTAGTATCCAGCAGCTCTTTCCACTGGTGACTTCTATGAGCCCACAGATCTCAGATCACTGGAACAGATAATCCCCTTGTCATCTCTGTAACTATGCATAAGGATGCATATACCACACAGCAGTCACTGAAGCCATGGCTCAGGTGGGGAGGAGAGGAAGGATAATCTCAAAATTATGTATTATCAGTGGACATTAGGAAAAATATCTAGTGTACGTGCTCTGACTAGACACTTTTATGGTCATCACTCCTTTTGATCATTCCTCAATTTGTTGAGCAACTAAGGTTGGTCAGATACAACATGGACCTCTTCTGACAGTCCACTGTCTCTCCCTTATCCATCCCTGAATAACACTACCAGTAGAAGCCATAGCTTTAAGTTCACCCTCAAGAACAATAATAAGCCTGAGTAAGGTATGAACATCCATCTGGTCCAAATACCATCTACTGGGCTGCCCTGGGACTTGAGACAAGCAGCAAGAGAGCGAGGACTAGTGAGGTCTGCCTTGGCCAGTCATGAACCCACACCCTCTGCTGCTCTGCACCCTCCAGGGCCAGCAGGCAACAGTGGAGAGGACTGGAAATAAAGAGGCAGCTGGCACTGGGAGTGGCTGCTCATCAGGCATGAGACCGCTGTCCCTCCAGCTGGTCTCTGGAGACCCTTACTGACACCCTACACAAGCCTTGCACTGACGTGGAGGCCTCACCTCCAGTTCCACGCAGAGGTCTTCTTGGCCCACACAGCCCCTGGGAGGCAGTCTTCAGTGGGCTCCATGTGGAAACCCTCTGTTTGTCCTTCTTGTAAACTCATCCTGCACCTCCCTTCTCTTCCTGCAACCATCACCTCCTCTACCCTCTCTCTCTGCAGGGGTAGAGACCATGCCTTTCCCTCATGTTCGCCCCAGGACCTATGTTTGGCTTTCCAATACAACCCCTTCTCCTCTCCCACACTCCCTCCCATCTCCATGGAAATTGTCTTGGAGCCTGACTCTTGCTACTTCCTCTCCAACCTCTCTCCCACTCACTAAGTCTGCCTTCTCATGCCTGGACCTGTCCTTCTTTTCTGGCTGTCATGAATTCTCCATACTGATTCTCCCTTCCAAGTCCTAAGACAGTGGGAAATACTTTTTTTCTTATTACAAACAAACACATCACATGTGGATGATATCGGAAAAAGCAGGCTGGATATTCGCTTTCAGAATGGTGATGTGGTGTGCCAAGCTGTGCACAGGACCAATGCCCACCAATGGTCCAGACAGGTACCTTGGAAGAGCAGCATGTTGTTATACATAACCCATTCAGTAATAAGCATTATAAATATTGAGCTGTGTTTGTGTACACACACCAGTGTACAAGTATCCACTTCAAAGGCCAGGGATATAGCTCAGTGGTGCAGTGCGTGCCTATCAAGTGCAAGGTCCTGAGTACAACTCCCTGTACAAAAAAAAAAAAAAAAAAAAAAAAAAAAATCTACTTCAAGAGATATCGTGACTGTCTTTATGAAGTGTAAATAAAATATTCGGTGAATGCTACTGCTGGTTACCATCTAACAGAAGGGCAGGCTCATAAAAAATCTTTATGCTGTATCTTCATCCACCTTATTTACTGGATCTGGGGCCATGTGACTTCTGGCTCTTCCCCAAAGTCAAAGTGACCAGGACAGGTAAGTGCTTTAAATGAATTTAGGACATAAAGGCAGTCACAAGAGTGCAGCTAATGACACAAAGAGGACTTCCACAACTGCCTTAGAAAGTAGCAAGAACAATGAATAAGTGTGTTCACAGAGGGAATTATTGTGAGGCAAATTAAAGGCAAAGTGTGTAGGTTCTTTTGCAAAGAGTCTTTGATAGTAATACATTTTTTAAAACTTAAACATTCACTGTAGGTTTCAATCACACCTCGTAGGTTTGTCCAAAAGGCACAGTGAATCAATTGTAATTTCTCTGGCCTCAAAGAAGAGAGAAATAACGACAATTTGCTAAGACTCTACACTGGGGAGACACAACCCTCCCCACTTCCTCTCCCTGTTGTTACAGGCCTCTTAGACTCATACACCCAGATTTATTTGCATACAATTAAACAAATCACAGGAGGCCATACATTTTGGTACAAAGCAAAAAGGGAAAAAAAGGGATTTTTCAAAGCTAGCTCTGAGGAGATGCAGTGGCCCATCTGCCTCAAATCACCATTTCCCTTCTTGTACAGGTGGCAAGAGTCTTTTATAGTAAGGATGAGAGCAGAGACAGATCGTCTTGATTACTTTTCTCTTGTTGCTGAGACAAAATACTGACACCCAGAATTAAGGAAGGAAAGGTTTATTTAGCTCACAGTTTGTGGAAGTTTCAATCTATAATCAGCTGGCTCCAAGGCAGGGTGGCAGGGCACAGGGGTAACACTTCAAGGTGGCACAACACAGCAAAAGCAGCAAGAGCAAAGAGGGGGGAAGCAAGCCTCTTTCCCTCCCTTATACTGTATGCAAACTACCTGCCCCAGGGTGGGTGTAGCACTCACACCCATAATCCCAGCATTTGTCTGTGGATCAATCATAAACTCTAGAGGCCCGCTCCATGACTGCATGAGGCTTTGGGGGCACATCAAGACACAAACCATGACAGAGATAATGCAGACCTCCACACTTGTTTATCACTTGCAGCCATCTTCAGCTCTTTCTCCCCTTTCTGGTGGAAAGGAAACTGGCTACCTGCCTCCTGGAGCAAGCATCTGCATATTCAGTCACTTCTTTTGGGCTGAGGAGAGGAGGGGGCTCAGCAGGAGGAAGTCTGGAGAACTTTGTTTATCTCTAAAAGAAAAAAAACATAGCGTTATAAGTTCCATTTTGCAACACCAATTATAGTCTAGGTCAATTGTCATCTCTACCTGAAACTCCAGAAAGAAGGGCTTTCAGGGAGCTGGAGGAAAGCTGCTCCAGCTATCCATGGCCAGGGGATGATAAACCAGGTAGAGCTTCTTCTTGAGAAATGGAAGAAAATGAGCAAATGCCTGGCAAAGCCCAGGCTGCCCTGTGCCATTAGATATATCTGCCATGGAGGCCAAGGGAAGCCAGATGCACCCTCTGGCCACACAGTGACTCTGCAAAGCTGGAGGAGATAGCTCAGAACTGCCTGGCTTTCCTCAATAGAGGATGAGAAAGACCAGCAGCAGGGATCTACAGGCAATCACTGGGGGGCTACAGAAGGGCGTGCAGGTAGAATGAGATGCAATGGAGATGCATGCCTGGTGTCCCTTGGGTGCAGGGACTCTGAGAGGCCCCTGGAGAGCACAGGAGAAAGCAGGAGCTTTGGGCAATAACCATGCAACTTTTGATTGAGATGGTTCCAGAGGGTCTTCTTTCTGTCTTTCAATTTCTTTTCTAGCTTGCATCAGAAACTGGCAATGGAAGTAGCAAAAAGCAGCAGAATCAGGCAGAAAGAGAAGAGAGAAGCCAAGCACATTCTTACTTGTTAGCATAGGCCCCACTTGGATCTACCTTAAGTTGTGAGAAGAAAGAATGTGCCACCAAGGACAAAGAAAGGACTGGGGTTGCAGGGAGTTTCTAATTCCAGAATTAAATGATATAGGAAGATCTGTTGTTATTTCATGAGCAGAAAAATCTATAAGCCCACTCAAGATGTCATCCAGGACTACAGGGCAGCAAGGGCTCAAGAAATACAAGGAGCATGTGACCATCATTCACACAGTTTGCAGACACACACACATACACACAGGCTGAGCCCAACCAGGAATATAGAAATGAGTAAGATCTGAACTCTACATGCATATAAAAATGTCTTAGAGAAGCTCAATACATCACATGAACCCTCTACAGAGAGACTGGGGTCAGGAAGGTCTGATACCACTCTGCCCTCAATAAGAGATTTGATGTGTTCTGAAATGTTCTGAAAACCCTGAAGCCAAATATCTCCATCTCTGTTTAATGAGAATAGAAAGACCGCACATCTTGGAGAACAAAGGGGTCTGTGTCCACATTCTCTCTGAGCCTCTGCAGCAGGAAGAGTTGAGATGTCTGATCACAGGCTCATGGATGTGCCCCCTCCAAGGTTACTGACATTCTCACTAAGGACTTCTGGAGACACAGTGGCCAGGAAAAAAATCAGGAAACACACAAGCTCCAGGACCATGGCAAATTCAACCCCCATCCGGGCAACGAGCATGAGTCTCTGCCCAACACGTCCTTGGCCTCTCGATATGGTCACTCACCAAGTCCAGCCAGCCAGTGCTTCCCTGTAAGTCCTTCCCCAGGCCAGATGTCTCACAAGCTTCTTCCCCTTTTCCAGCCCTTAAAAACATTGATGAACCCAATCTTTGTCCTTTTTTCCCATTCCCAGTGCCTCTTCCAAGGGCTTAATTTCCCTTGCTCTGCAATTGTTACTGACAGCTATATTTTGAATCTCCTGGTCACCCTGTCCTGTCTGATGATGTAAGCTTAAAACAGAGATGAAAGGAATGAGTGAGTTCTTTCTCAGTAACTAAGGAAGAAAGTTGGGGTAGGGGTTGGGTGCAAAGACACTGGGATATGTTGGTCCTTTCTAGAAATAGCAAGGAACACAATTTCTGCAAAAGCATGAACCAAGAAGAGTACAGTTAGAAAAGAGGTGGAGAGGGTAGTCAGAGGCTAGGACCTTACTGGAAAGTAGTTACCTGGGACAGCATTCCAAGTAATTATAGTGACATTGAAAGATTTATTTTTAAAGACATTGCAATGCAGGGTGAGAGGAAGCAAGAGATAAGTCAGGACACTCCTGAGGAGATGCTTTGGCCTGTATCTGGATGACCCCTCAAAAGCCTCTTGTGCTTATAAGTGGGCCCTTTGGGAGGTAATGGATGATGGATATAAGATACTAGCTGATGAGTATGTGATAACATACTAGATTAGTCCATTAATTATTTTAGCATCGTTTTGGGGATTGATGATGGATTTGCTGAAGAGGAAAGACTACCTGGGTGTGTATTGGCGCCAACCAATAGGACTATAGCCTACATGGAATAAAAAGGGAAAGAAAGAAGGGTCCCTGCTTCCTACCTTCAGTGAACTCTTTCTTCTCTACCATGCCTCTCTGCCATAACACCACGCCTTGAGACCAGCCAGTTATGCACTGAAACCTCTGCAAACTATGAGCCAAGATAAACTTTTCCTCCTGTAACTTGTGGGTAACAGGTATTTTGTTCCAGAAATGAGAAAGTAACTAAGACATAAGGTGACCACTTTGATTCAGTGCCTGGATTCTCAGCATATTCTGGAACACGGATGTAAGCTGTAATTTCTGTAGGGAACTCAGTGGGAGGTTGAAACCACAGGCAGGAACTGTAAAGTTGGAATGCCTAAGACCTTACTTTAGCATTTTTGTACTTACTATGTGCCAAGCACTCTTCTAAATGTTACATGTACTTCACTTTATTTAATTCTCACCGCCATCGTGTAAGATGAGTAAGTCTTTATAAGGATGAAGTCCTTGTTTTACAGCTAAGGAAACTGAGGTAGAGAAAACTAATTTTTTAGGGGCTGGGAATTTAGCTCAGCAGCACAATGCCTGCCTGGCAAGTGCAAGGTCATGAATTCAATTCCTAGTTCTGGAAGAAAAACAAAAACAAAACAAAACAAAAATGAAAACTAATTTTTTAAAACTCCATGGGAAAAAACAGTGTGCCACTGGGAAGAGATCTTTGTCTTTTCAGCTGGAAACTCCAACTCTGTGCACAAAGAATGCTGCATATAATGTTCCTTCTGAGGCCAGCACGGTGTGAGGTCAAGGTTCTTCCTAGGCTGTGGCAGTATCACTCACAGACTATCCCCTCATGTTACATTTGCAGTCAGGGGAGCAGAGCTGGCAGTGTGGGTTTGTGAAGGGCATGGAATTGATCTGTTAGACAATGCAGAGCCATTGCCAACCATACAGTCCCTTTCATCCACTGGTGTAGCATTGCTAATTTGGATAAAGAAGTTTGTGTTCTTGATCTCCAAGGCTAGGGAGAGACAGAGCTCATTGCTGGTTCTAAATGAGCAGAAAAGGCCCTCAGAGGAGGTGTGAGGCTAGCTAGCATTAGGAACGGGTTTAGAGGACAAACTCATGTGTGCATGGTCTTGGACATCCCCATTGGACACAACCTTGCTCTGAATAGTTCTTAGAGCTTCTACACCATAGTTTGGAGCTTACTGGGAAATAAATTGACATACTAGTTTAATGCAGTAGGTACAAGGGATTGCTCCTCCTGAAGTTTCATTTACTTCCAGAGTTGGGCAGCTGGACAAGTTCAGGGGTAACACCTGGTGATTTCAGAGTGCGTCTTGCAGATTGGTCACAGTCCCCGTGGTGTCTCTAATTTGTGATGTTTGAGTCTTCTCTGAGCTCTTAGATGTCTTAGGTCAATTGAAGAGCAGGTTGACAAGGTGAAGTCTGTAAGACCAGGGCTTAAATTCCTGCTTGGCTGCTAGCTGATGTGAGGAAGGTGCAAGACTTCTCAAAGGCTCAGGTCTCCTTCCAGGAACAGGAATAACGGCAGTGAGATGCTCCTTAGAATTGGGGTAAAGATCAGAGGGTGGATCAACACCTGAAGGCTTGGCAGGGCCCCTGGAAACTATTCCCTCCCCGTGTGGGTTTCTAGAGTGGGTTTCTCCCTTGGTCCTGGGTGCACCTCCTTTGAACAAGCTCTCTTCCAGTTCTAATCCACAGCAGAAGGCACAGGTGTGTCTCCAAGACTCCAGGCTTGACATTCTGGACTGAGGAGTCCTGAGGATGCTCAGAGATATAGGATCTTTTTCCTTGGTATATGAGTCTCTAAAGAAAAAAAGAGCTGCCAATGCAAATGGCTGAGCCAGCTGCAAAGAGGTCCCTGGGGGCACTTGGAACTTTCTAGAGCCCAGCAAATGCAGTGGTGATGAGAAAATCCTGCTTCTAAACGGTCTGGGGATCTACAGAAGGCTGTCACCTATTAGGGCTATGGCATCCATTGTCAGGGCTCTGCCATATGCCCCAGGGAGATTCTTCCATTTCAAGGGATGCTGGTTTCTGTGTATCTCAGTCTCAACACCACCTGCGCTCTCCATCACTTGGTTGGAAAGCTGCTCCAAACAGATGGCATACTCTCTACTTGTCTGTGCAGAAAGCACAGTACATGGGAATAGCCTGAATTTTATAGACACAGGAGTATTCAGTACTCCAGCTCCCTTAACCTCTGGTTAGGACAACTTTGAAGAGCTGCCAGTGGGTTGGACCAAAGTCACTTTTGGTGGGATTTTGCTTGACAACACCATGTTACTAGTCCTGCTCCCCTAGTCAGAGGCTAGGACCTTACAACACCTGTGCTTTTATGTGAGCTCTTTCTAAGACACCACTTGCCCATGAGTCATTTTAGGGTATGCTTCTGGAGAGCCCAACCTAAGACAGAATCAATCCACATGACAAGTATTTAGCATGGACCGTGGCCCGTGTATTGAGTTAGGAGGCTTTTTGAAAATACATTGCCTTGGGGCTGGGGATTTAGCTCAGCGGCAAAAGCGCCTGCCTGACAAGCGCAAGGTCGTGAGTTCGGTTCCCGGTACCGGAGAAAAACCAAAAAAAAAAAAAAAAAAAGAAAATACATTGCCTCATTTAATTTTCATAATTAACATTTGCAGACCTTCGGAGGTAAAGAGACTAAGATCAGAGATTTAGCAACTTGCCCCAGACCACACAACTGGCAAGCGATGACTGCATCAATGAGGAGCTTAGCACTTACATCTCCCTTTTCTGATGGACCATCGGGTGGTGAAAGGGGCAGGAAAGCTGAGAAGGTTGCCAGGTC